CACTGAGTTGTCCATTGACCTTCTCTCTTTTCAGCCGGGGTCACGACCTCCCACGGCTCCTGTCATCGCTCTTCTGACCTCTGGGTGACCTCATGCCAAATCTAAGCTAACTTACCTTCGCCCACGCCCCTTCCTCTGACCTGACCCTCATCAAAGGTCATCGCAAAGTGCAGTTAAAGATCATTTGTTGACCCTCATCTGATTTGCAAGTGGCTGCTTTTTATTTTTATTTTCTTTTTTTTGACTTTTTGCCTTTTAGAGCCATGTCGTCCTCAGCGAAAAAGGGTTAGGACCAATACCATCTCTAAGAATATTCTCATTGTCTGTATCATTATCACTATCATCATCATTGTTTTTATTACCGTTATTGTTATTATTATTATTGTTATTATCATTATTTTTGTTATCATTATTATTTCCATTTCCATCATCATTATTGGCATTATTTTAATTGGTTGTAGTATTAGTAATATTATCATTATTATCATCATTGTTATTTTTTTCATAGTTATTATTATCATTGTGATTATCATCATTATTACTATTATCATCATAACAATAGCATCATCACTATTCTTGATACTGCTGTGTTTGTTAGTGGCTTCTTGTTGTTCTTTTTGTTACTGTTATTGTCACCATAATCAGTTATAATGATTATCACTATTAATGCAATTACATACTCTCTTTGTGTAGTTGGCGGTTTCTTGTTGTTGCTGTTATTAACATTATGGTAATTGTTAGCGTTGTTGTCATTACTATAATTGCCATTATCATTTTCATCATTCATATTCATATCGTTATTAGTGATGTTATTATTGCTACTGCAGTTGTTAACAACACAATTATCACCATCTTCCCAATCAATCATTACTGTCTTCTTTCTTTTTCCTTTTCATGATGTTCAAAAATCCTTACCTTACATACAAATCTATTTCAACTCCTATCGCAATTCAGGGGAAAACACACATTCCTGGACCAGACTTTTCACATTCAGATACCAAATCCAAAGCTATATTTTTGTTCTTTCTTCCTTTTCCCTTTACTTTCTTTCTTTTCCTCGCTCTCCATTTTCGGGAATAAAACACATTATACCCAAAGGAATCCTAAGTTAAATGTGGTCCATCGAACATTTTAACGTGAAGGCACCAGACTCATAAATGGGGATTTTTAACAGTTATCTGGCGATGTTATTAATGTTATCCTTGTTGTTATCATTTGTATATATCATTACTATTATCATTACTATCATTATTATTTTTACTATCATTATCATTACCACCATTACCATTATTGTTTTTTTGTCATTGTTATCATCATTATTATTATTACAATTGTTATTATATTATTATCAATGTCATTCATATTGTTAATACTATCATCACTGATATCTTTATCATTATTATTATCATTGATATTATTACTATTATCATTATCATTGTCATCATTATTATCATAATTACTATTATTTTCATCAATTATCATCATCACCATTATTTCTTATTGTCGTTAATATCATTATTATCTTTGTTATTACTATTATTATTATTATTATTATTATTATTATTATTATTATTATTATTATTATTATTATTATTATTATTATTATTATTATTATTATTATTGTCGTTATCATAACATTTTTTATCATTGTCATTATTATCATTTTATCATTGATATAATTAATATCATCATTATTTTTTTTCATTATGATTAATCTATGTCATTATCATTATCATCATTTTTACTACTATTATTAATATTATTATTATCACCATTATCACTATTATTATTATCATTATCATTATCATTACTGCTATTATTATAATTATTGTTTATGTTGTTTTCATCATTACTATTGTTATCATTGCTTCCATCAAGGAGGTAATGTTTTTGGTAGCGTTTTGTTAGTTTGTTGGTTAGCAAGGTAATTCAAAAAGTTATGAGAACTTTTTTTGTGAAATACCAGAGGTGTGCCTTAACCCAATATTGATTTCACTGAACTTTGATGGTCATTGCATCAGTTTCCCATATTGCCTTGACAATAGGAGTAACTATTATCATCTTTAACATTGCGAGATCGGGCTACTTTTTTGGCGCTTGAGTTATTATTATCCTATTGCCTTGCCAGAGGTATGCGCTCTCTGAGTGCTTCTATTAGTTATTAATATCACTATCATCATTATCATTCCTATTATAATTATCATTACTATTCCTATTATTGATATAATTGTTACTGTTGATTTTATGATTAATATGATTACCGTTATTATCATCATCATATAATTCTACTTGTGTTTTGTTCGTCTGTCCTTTCATCTGCATATAACGCTTACATTTTACGCTTGAAATTTTATTCCATACAGATGCTGGTTTGGAGTCTCGACATTTTGATGTAAAGTGGGCATTCTATGCCTGAAAGTATTTGTAGTATTAGTAATCATCATTACCATCATCATTGTTATTGTAATCTTTCACATTGTTATTATTATCATTGTAATTA